GCCTCCCAAGTAGCTGGGACCACAGGTGCCCACCACAACGCTGGGCCATTTTTTGGTTGCAGCCATCATTGTTGTTTGGCGGGTCCAGGCTGGATTCGAACCCGCCACCTTAGGTGTATGTGGCTGGCGCCTTAGTCACTTGAGCCACAGGTGCCGAGCCAAATTCTGTAGTTTTAAGAGTACAACTCAGTAGTTTTTAGTTAATATGCAGAATTCTGAAAGCATCACCACAGAATAGTTTTAGAATACATTTTTTAGCCAAAAAGATTCATTGTGCTTAATCATAGTGCCTAGTTCCACTCCAGCCCTAGGCAATCTACTAATCTGCTTCTGTCTATAGATTGCTCTTTTGGTATATTTTACATAAATGAAATCATGTATCTTTGGAAATCATATACTTTTTGCATTTGACTTCTTAGGGTTTATTTCTCCACATCCTTGTTAACACTTGGTATTGTCTGTAATATTTATTACAGCCGTCTTAATAGGTGTGTAGTGATATCTTCTTGTGGTTCTAATTTCTGTGCTTATTAGCCATTTCCATGTCTTGTTGAAATGTGTATTCAAATTTTGTGCCCATTTTAAAAATTGGATTTTTTTTTTTATCATTGACTTTTGAGAACACTTTCAAAGTTTTTTGGTTAGATATGTGACATAAAAATATTTTCTCCCAGTCTGTGGCTTGTATCTTCATTTTCCTATCAATGATATTTACAGAACAAAAATTTTTAGTTTTGATAAAGTCAAATCAGTCGTTCTTAATCTTATGATATACGTAAGAACTCTTTGCTTGACTCAAGGTCTTGAAGATTTTCTCCTACATTTTATTTAAAAGTTTTGAAAGTTTATTTTACATTTAGATCTTTTAGTTACTTATCAAAAAGGTGTGAGGTATAGGTTGAGGATTTTTTTTTTTTTGCATATGTTTTTCTGGCATCATTTGATGAAAATGCCATCTTTTTTGAACTGTTGTATGTTTGTCAGAGATCAATTGACCATACTTGTGTGAATCTACTTCTCTGTGCTTCCATGTGTGTTACTTTGTTTTTTCCTCCATCTCCTTTGTCTTTTTGTTCCTGATTTTTTTTGTTTCCAGTTTTCTCCTATTTTCTGATTTTTCTCTCTCCCAATTTTTCTTTCTTCTGTTTCCTTCCTCAAAATGAAGTATACAGGTTGTATTAAGTTTTATATACCTGGCTCGGCGCCTGTGGCTCAAGCGGCTAAGGCTCCAGCCACATACACCTAAGGTGGCGGGTTCGAATCCAGCCCGGGCCCGCCAAAGAACAATGATGGCTGCAACCAAAAAATAGCCGGGCATTGTGGTGGGTGCCTGTGGTCCCAGCTACTTGGGAGGCTGAGGCAGGAGACTCGCTTGAGC